TTGGTTGGGGAGTGCCTTTAGGCACAAGTCATTCGCTAGATTGTTTTGATATATTCTTCTTTTTGGTAATGTCATTTTCTCATAGAAATGCTTATTTTCCTTCTTTTTTTTTTTTTTTCCTTTTTTTTTTTTTTTTTTTTGGTAAGATGCTGAATTTTTTATTTTGTTGCAAAGTTTTTTTTTTTTTTAAATTTTAAAAGAGGTTCCACAACCTTCAAAAGTGTTGACATTTCAGCTTTTTTTTTTTTAGTTCCAAGATGGTGCTTGAATAAAATTTTTATCAATTGGTATGGTTCTTGAAGCATTTTTATTTATTTAACAATTGCAATATTAGTATGATTGAAGACTATAAAACACTTGATGCTTCATACTATTAGTATTGTTGTTAAACTTTTATTTGATGTTATAGGTTGTGTTTTGTCAAGTTTATATTTGGCTATAGGCTGGCTTTTTGGTTTATTACAACAATAAAAATGTGTAAAAAATATAAAGGTAATGTGACTTAAATAAGCTAATAATATAAGTCAATAAGATGGCTTATAAGCCACTTCGCAAAATGTCCCTTGGGTTACGGGTTTGGTTGATCCAGATGTTTTGGCTTTTATAGATCCTGTAGATGATTTGATTTCTTAGCTTTCTTATTCCTTTGGGGGCTAAACTTTTGTATTCTTTGTATCATCTTGATATTTTTTAACAAAGTCTAATTATTTATGAAGAAAAAAAAATGTTGAAAGCTCCTCATATATATTTTGCCATGGACTACTAGATTTGTTATGTTCATCAAAAACAAAGAATTTAAAGGGTTGACATCTCAGTTTTTTTTTTTTAATCCCAGGATGGTTCTTGAATAAAATTATTATCAACTAGTATGGTTCTTGAAACATTTTTATTTATTTAACAATTAAAATATTAGTATGTTTCAAGACTATAGAACACTTGATGCTTCGTACTATTAGTATTGTTGTTAAACTTTTATTTGATGTTACCTGTAGGTTGTGTCATGTCAAGTTTCTATTGTTATGCTTCTAATTATGTTAAAAGCTCCACATGTTTGAATAATTGAAGATGATGGATTTGATGGCCATAGATCTCATGAATTTTTTTTTATTAGTTTAAATGCTTTTGTAATTTCTGAGCTTATTTCTTTTAATGGGATTAAGTGAGAAATATGGGATGATGTACTATTAATGATTGTGCAAGATCTTAGATTTTAAAGATTCGAGCAATCTCATCATTGTCTAATGAAATCATGCACGATGTAGTCAATAATTTTTTTCAATCAACTTTTTCTTCAATGCCTATTTATTTAACATGCATAATTATGTAATTTCTAATGTGGTTTTATGTGAACAAACTGTAAAGGTTCTTCAGTTCATGGAAGTCGAAGGATTTAAACCAATATTTTATAATGCTAATTCACTAATTGTAGTGATGGATGCATTTGGTAATTCTCAAAGGCATTTGGAAGCATTGTCCTTTTTTTTAACACTACGTAAAAAGAAATGCAGGACTTCATATTGTTTTTCCTATTTAGTTCTAAGATACTCCATTACAACTCAAGGCAAATTGTTTTGAAGGGAATAAATCGATTATCTACGTTGCACTTATGAAGGCGAGGAGCCTTGACTAGGTGTCCTATCTTTTTAGTTTTAATACAATAGTTTGTTTTGCCTCCTAGCTTTTGTCAATAATAGTTTGTTTGGATTGTTTGGATTTTTTCAAGTGCTACATTTTTTTATGGTAATTTTTTTTGAACGGTTTTTTTTAGCCTTTGATGAGGAATCACATGTACTTTGATCATGAAAATTTTGTTCAAGTGTGAATGTGATAATTGCTGATATTTAGTTTGATAATTATAGGTAAATTGGGGAAGACACCAGTGTTTTTATCAAGAAGAGTTAGGTTAGAGATTTTTTATGTTCAATTTCTCTTAATTCATAGTGATTGGTTTTTTTTGTTTCTCATAAATATTTTGAATGATTTTTCCTGTTATGATTTCTTTTAGTTGACCTTTTAAAGTAGAATTCAAGTCTTTGAGTGATTTTGTTGCAGGTGACTGATCCACATTAGAAATATTGTGTTTGTGTGTTTTTTTTCTTTTTCTTTTTCTTCTTCTATGTGTTTTAGTGGTTGGTCTTTCATTGGATGATTAGTTTTTTTGTTTTTAACAAGCTGCAATGGTTATTCTTTTGTACCAAAATATTCATTCACCATTCCTCTTATGTGTGAAGTTTGTCATTTTGAATTGATTTGTTATAATTGAGTTCTATAGCACAGTGAAATTGTTATCATTCTTAATTGGTTTATTGTAATTGAGTTTTATAGTGCAATGAAATTATTGTCATTCTGAATTGATTTATTTTAATTGAGTTTTGTAGAAGGGGAATTTTTTTTAAGGTCCCTAATAATAACAATTTAGAGGATAAAGGACACCCAAAAAGATAGTGATGCATCATGTCCCTGAAACAACTTGGCGCGTGTTTTTAATTATTTTGTGGACCAAAATACCCTTGCCAAAATCACCACAGAAACAAACTCATTCCGACGTCTGAGTTACATTCCAAACATCCAGCATCTTCACGAACACGAGAACAGCAAAATTAGGGTTTCAACATCATCTGCACCATCGACATTGGAGCTTCGTTATCTTCTCCAAAAATCATTTTCATTCCTTCCTAACAAATTTCTCTGACCTAGGTTAAAGCTTCGTTTTCACTGCTCATCATCATCTCAGTCCATCTTCGTCACGTCGCATCTTCATCTCGAGTCATATCAGCTCGTCATTCAAGTTTCATCCTAACTCTGGTTAGTTTTTCTACAATACAACTAGATTTTCTCTGGAAACACAGTTAATAGCATTTTATAATAACCTTCCATAAATTAGGGTTTCAATTTCGTAATAAAAAACTACCTGAATTTGGAAAAAGTTATTTCTGTGTGTTTTGAACTTATTCTTCAACATGTTTGTATGATTTTATCTGTAAATTTCTCTAGCATTTGAATTTCTCTGATTTTTTTATTAATGTACGTTTCTTCTTTCAATTTTCTCTAGCATGTTTATTTTCACAAAAACAGTTTTCTGTGTTTTTATCTTATCTTGAACATGTTTCTGTAATTTTGTCTATAAATTTTCCTGCTCCGTAAATTTCTCTGTAATATGTATTTTTAATTGGAATGTCTATCTTTCTCTGGAATGTCTATTGCTTTCTTGCCTCTGTCTGAAGTTTCTCTGGTATTTATAATTTTCTCTAACCACATCACATCACTTTCCTCCCTTGTGTGTCTTTGTCATTTTTAATTTTCTCTGAAATTTTAATATTGTGGACTGGAATGAATGTTTCTTCTTGGAATTTTCTCTGCCATATGTACTTTGAGAAAAAGTTATTTCTCTGAATTTTAATCTTATTCTTGAATATGTTTTGTCATTTTGTCTCTGAATTTCTCTGCTTTGTAAATTTCTCTGGAATATGTATTTTTCTCTGCAATGTCTATTACACTCTTGCCCCTGTCTAAGTTTCTCTGGTATTTATAATTTTCTCTGACCACATCGCACCACTTTCCTCCCTTGAGTGTCTCTATCATGGTTAATTTTCTCTGCTTGTGTATGTAAATTTTTCTTGCATTTTAATATTATGAATTGAAATTTTCTCTGGAATGGAAATTTCCTCAAGAATGTGTAATTTTTTTCAGAATGTGCATTTTTCTCTGGTATGTTTATTTTGTTCAATTCTTGATTTCAATATGGTGTACTTCTCAGTGCCATGTTTACATTACTTTGTTTATTTTATCTTTGCTAATTGTGGAATGCAAATTTTCTTTCACTTGCCATGTTTACTTTTTTCTATCATTCATTTTCTCTGGTATGTTTACTTCTATATGTAATTTAAACAATTATTGAAAATTTCTCTCTCATTTTTATGATGCTGTGTTGATTTTCTCTGACATTTAATTTTTAATGTCCAATTTTCTCTGGCATGTCCAATTTTCTGTAATTTTCCCTTATCTGTAATTTTTTTTGGCATCTCCAATTTTCTCTTTTCTGTAATTTTCTCCCTTATCTGTAATTTTCTCTGACATGTCCATTTCTCTGGGATTTAATGTTGACATCTTTATGTTTTAATCATTGTCTAGAAATGGCAAAACGTAAAAGCAGCGAAACACCGGAAACACCAAGCAAAAAACATAAACTCTCTCAGTCTTCTTATGGACTAGGATCAAAAACCAGCAGCAAAACACTAGAAACACCAAGCAAGAAAGAACAACTCTTTCAGTCTTCTTATCATCTAAGATCAAAAACCAGCACCAAAACACCACAAACTCCTCCCCAAAACACACAAGTCCAAGCTGATGAAGCAACTAGCATCCAGATGAGTACCCCAACTTCAAAAGACTCAAGCTCAAGGGGGAAAAAACCTGTTAAACTCCACAGAAAGAGAGCTCACTACAGCATTCAATTCCGATCCAACCTCTCATCTGTCGTCTCCTTTTTTCAAATACTTAAATTCAATTCAAAACATCTTCTAGAGCTTCAAAAGACCCCATTCTGGTATTTGATCCAAGCTCTAACCACTGGAAGGATGGATCCAAAGAAATCTAGGAAATCCGATGAGGATGTAGTTGCCATAATCCAATGTTACAATGAAAAAACAAAAGCATTCACAGTTGGGAAGGAGGTAAAGGAGCCATGTCATTAAGATACTCTAAAAAGCCAAAATCTGCATTCCTCAGGAGAAGATTCCAAAAGGACACAAGGCTCACTGGTCCTGTTCTTAAAAATGCCTTGGTCAAAGCAATGAAAGGCAAGCAACCAACTGACTTCAAAGATGTAGCAATCATTGTTACATTGTACTTGTGTCTCACCCTATTTTTTGCAACAAGTGGGAATTCAATAGGTTGGGTTTTTATAACGTATGTGGAACCTCTTGAATCAATGAAACAGTATGATTGGCCGGAAGCAATCACATCAACATTGATTGATTCTATCATGGCATTGCAAAAAACTCCAGAAAAAGTTACGGGGTGTGTCATTGCATTGCTGGTAAGTATAATATCCATTCAAATTTACAGTTATCATACTTACAAATTTGTGCATTTACAAAATTTTATTTACTTTCATTTTCATCACAGTATTGGCTATGTGAACATGCAACTGTCATTGACTCGGAAGACAGTAACACAACTGACTTCCCAAGATGTGCCAAGTGGAACTTGCAAACCTTGACGAAACAGCTGCAGAAGACACCAGTCCACTCTCTTGCACCTCGACAGGTTAGATTCCTATTGCTACTGAAATCTCAGTGAAATTCCAAAATTTCTCTGACCACTGCTTTGTTTCCCTCCTTGTGCATTAATTGATTAAGATCAATTTTCTCTGAACTATCAATTTATGTTTTCTTCTTTGCTTACCACTGGTCTATTTCTGCCAATGTAATCAATTTTCTCTGCCATCCAAATTTCTCTGACCACAATTGTAACACATTAACTTATATGCCCTAATTGATTTTCTCTAATATCTGAATTATATTGGTTGTTTCATAATTTTCTCTGGCCCATCAAATTTTATCTCCATGTGTGTAATTTTCTCTGCCCATAACTTATGTGCCTTGCATCTTTGATAAACACTGTTTATTTCTACCTTTCTAATGAATTTTCACTGGAATTCAAATTTCTCTAACACAATTATAGTAAAACATTAACTTATATGCCTTGATTGATTTTCTCTGATATCTAAATTATGTTGCTTGTTTCATAATTTTCTCTGCCTCATAAAATTAACTCCATGTCTCTAATTTTGTCTGGCCCATACAATTTTCTCTGAAGTTTGGTTCCCATTAGTATCATTTAGATGAATTTTATTTTCCTTATTTGAATTTTTTCTCTCAGTGAATTTTGTAACATTTCTCTAATAAAAGAGTCTCCTGTTACAGATTGATAACAAGCAGCTAGTCAAAAACCCATCAGAGGAGTTCTGTCTTGGCAAAAAGACGAAGAAAGAATTAAAAAAGACAATTGTCAAATTCAAGGAGACATTACAAGATCCATCTGAAGATGGAGGGAATGAACAAGCAGAAGGCAACACAGAAGAATACGAAGCCAGCAATGGACAAGAACATCAAGCAAGCAGCACAGAAAAAGAAACCAGCGAAGAAAGTGAAGAAATAGAACCAGAAGACAAAGAACAAAATGAACAGAAAGAATAAGACAGTGAACAAGAAGATGAAGAAGAAGATGAACAGCAAGAAGAAAACAAGGATGAAAGTGATAAAGAAGAAAATAATGAGCCGATGGACCAACAACATGATGGCATTTGTGGCTCAACAATGCATCAGCCTGAAGAATTTGAGGAATCAAAGGATGCCCAAATTGCTGATCTACGTCAAAGACTGAAGGCACTTTCTCAATCTAAAAAAGAAGAAGACAGAAATTGGATTGAATTACTTGCTGAAAAGGATATTTCAATAAGAATCCTGACATCACATAACTCAAAACTTCAAGAAAAAGAAAACACAATCCAAATGAAACTAAGGATGTTGGAGGTTGAAAAAGCAGACGATACAAAAACAATTCAACAGTTGAGGCGTTCAAATTCGGAGCTTGAAACTGAAATGCTAAATTGCATGAACAAGTCAAGAACTATCCGTCCAACTAGCAACACAACCATACCGAACACCAACACAACTTCAACCACAAGGTCAGTGAAAATCTTGAGCCACAAAAAGTTATGTCCTTGTGCCAACATAACTCAGAGAAATTTCTATTTATTATAATTTTCTCTGTCATTGGTAATTTTCTCTGGAAGTTATATCTCTCTGAACACATTAGTTATATTTCTACTGCTCATTTCATTTCTCTATATATTTTCTTATTCCATTTTTGGGGCTTGTTTCATTTTCACTGTGTATAGTTGGAATGCAAGTGGAACAACAGCCAACAACCCAACAAGAACAAATGGCACACAAAGAACAACCGAAACAAAAGACAAAACTCTATGGTAACTGCAAAATATTGAATTAAATAAATTTACATATTGAAATATCATCTGTTGCTTCAGAGAAATTTCACTTTTCCTAATATTTTCACTGTCTACAATCAAAAAAGATCCGACATCAATGATAAAAAATTTAAAGGCAAAAGAAAGGAAGGAAAAACAGCATGATCCAGAATTCCAATATCTCAAAGTTGCGAAAGTGACTAGATCTTCAAAACAAGCTGCAAAGCAAGTTGAGAAAGCACGAAGGACAAAGAAGTGCTTGATGCTGATACGTACGTCTTGCCTCAACCTATAAACATCAGAAAATCTTGGGTCTTTCCACAAACTCTTCCAATTTCAAGATTGATAAAAGCTCATATAAAAGACATCTTGCAGCACATATCAAATGTGTCTGGGCTTGAGTAAGTACAACAAACAAAATAGAACATAACAAACAACAAATTACAAACTTATGTTGCATTAACAACAATTCAATCCCTTCTTTGTCATCTTGTAGAGCTTTAATTTGGACAAGTGAGTTGAATCTCATTACCTTTGAAGACATTGGAAACCTAATAAAGAAAAAAGAAATTGCCAACAATGTAAGTCTTTCCCGTTCATCAAAATTTCTCTGCAATGTTCCATCAGCCTTTATAAACCAATATTACAATTATAAATCATATTTTTCAGGTCATTGATGGCTATAGAGAGATCCTTTTGGCTGACCAAATGAGAGAGAGACAACAACCAACCTCATTTTTTTTCACATCCATGAGCTTAGTATGTTACTACTATTTTATTTGATTTTCTCTGGAATTTACTTACTACTTTCTCTTCTTAATATACTTCTTGAAGCCAGTTGTGTCACTAGTCATAACAAAACCATTTTTTGATTTTCTCTGAACACAGAATTTCATCAAGATGACAGAAAATCAAACTTTTCGAGTGTCCTTATTTGACAAGCATATTGAAACAGCATGAAGGAACTACAGGTTCCTCCATTTCCCAATAAATACTGGAGGTAATGAGAAGTCCACACATGAAAATCACTGGACCTTGCTTGTCTTGGACCAAACAAGACATATTTAATGGAAGTTCTACAACTCACTGTGAGGCCAAGGAGGGATGATGCAGAAAACAAAGATGCAAAACCAATTGGTAAAGCACTGCAAATTTCTCCTGATCCATCATCAATCTTATGTTGATGATAATTTCATAGAATTCCCCAAAATTGACTTGTCCGTAAATTTCCCTCTGTTATTTAAAAAATTATTTTTTTTTGCAACAAGATTACGTGGAGAATTTTTTGAAAGCTTGCCTTGAAAGAGACCTCAATCAACAACACCCTTTCAAATTAATAACTCACAAACACAAGACGACTTTGAGTATGTCAACAATGCTCCACAACAAGAAAGCGATTTCGTAGTTTCATACACTATAAATAAGATAATCTGTTTGCATGTTCTTAAACAACCATACCTATAATTTGTATGCAGTCTGGATTGTTGGCCTCTTTGTCTGCTATATAATGAAACAATATAGCAAGCATGAACCTATCAGCTCAAATTGTCCACACAAGAAGATAAGGTGATGAGGGCAGAACTCATAGAGAGATTTGTGACCGAAGTTGGCCGGTCATGGACTGAACAATTGAAAATACCACCCGCAGAAGAACCACAAAATGTAATAGTGAACTAATTTGAACAGGAAGACAATGAACATATCCACACAGAGAAAATTGTCTCACCACACAACATATATATATATATATATATATATATATCCTTTCTTGTTGAACAATTAAAGAATGATGATCCTTGACAATATATGTATTATCCTTCTTGACTAATCCTAAATTTCAGTTTTTTTTTTTTATTTCGACTATGTAATTTTCATACCTATCGATGGTTAAATATATATATAATTTATTATATTATTTGTCATCACAGAAAATGTCTGCAGAAATTTCTCCTGGTATGAACTACCAGAAATTCACAGAGAAATTTAACTTGTATCGTCTCAAGGGGATGCCTATATGATCATGTAATCTGTAATACTTTGTGTTGGTACAAAACAATCATCAAACTCAACAAAACACAAAGCACACAGTAATTTTATCTGCCACTGGAAAATTTCATTGCATGAATTTCAAATTTCAGAACACAATGCCCAGATAGTTTTCTCTGATGGTGGAAAATTTCTCTGGATGAATTTGACAGAAAATGGAATTTCTGAGTTATGAATTTCTCTGGGTTGAGTGATTTGGAGAGGAGGAATTTCTCTGAGTTGGTGAGGAAAATTTCTCTGGCTTTGACACAAATTTCTGAGTTGAAGTGAGTCCAGAGAAATTCTTCCCTGGTCCAGAGAAATTCTCAAGTCAGAGAAATTCCAAAAGAGCTTAATTTTGTTTCTTGGTTGTACAATAATTTTTTGTATGCTCTGTCTGGTGTGCACATTTCTTGAAATGACTGATATGAAGCTACCAGAAATTTACAGATAAATTTAACTCATATCTCGCCAAAGAAGGTGCCTATATGGTCATTCAATCTCTAATGCACTGTGTTAGTACAAAACAATTATCAAATTCAAAAAACACAATCCACACAGTACTTTAGTCTGCTGAGAGGGTGATTTATGATCTGGAAATGGGCCGAGGCAACGGCCGAGCAGGTTGAGAGCCCAACCGTGCATGGGGCCGAGATGATCGACTATCCGCCCGGAGATGGGCTGCCAGAACTTGGCCCGGGTGGAATTGGGCCAAGCGTGTGCTGCCCTGGACCGTAAAGAAGCTCGGCAAGGCAGTGCTCAGTTGGACCGAGCTGCTTGATCAGCGGATGGCTGAAGCCAGACAAGCTGAGAGACCGGCGCCCGGAAAGGCATGGTCAACCGAGGAAACCATTTGATCGGCAGGAAAGCCGACCACAGGAGGTGCCTCGGGCTTGGCTTTGCCGAGATGCCGCCTAGCCCGGTCCTCCCTGGGCCTAGCCAGTGAAGCGCTTGGGTATGAAGCGCAGCACGGCCGTGGATAGAGCAGCTCGGCTGCCGAGCTCCAGCTGAGAAGGCAAGCAGTTGTGATTAGGTGATGATCGGCAAGGTTTATGCTGACAGATGGGATAGCGGAGCCACGTGTCAGGAGATGACTGGGAGTGGATATGGGGCGCAGAGGGTATATAAGTATGTCTGCGCCCCCCATACGCGCATAGATGAACATTTGGTGAGACATACACTAAACACTCAACACTCTCCCTTCTCTCTATCTATCCCCTGGTGTGTGTTCTAACTTGACCGTCGGAGGGGTTTTCCAGCCACACACCGCCGGGTAGCTCACCCACATTGTGTTTTCAGGTGATCGAACAGAAACGGAGCTTGGAAGAAAGGAATACGGGCTCGCCTGAATATTTGCTCCTCGTACAATTGACGCCGTCTGTGGGAAGCTCGACAGACAAAACCTTGTCTTCCAGGTTCATCTGATCGCCGTCCATGGCGAACAACGATGAGTTTCCGTTGTCTGCCATAGATGGAGCTACCCCGGAGTTCACCCGAAGGAGAGAAGGCCCTCCCGCCATCCATCCAATGGCGGACTTGGGGACGCCCACCGGAGGCCAGTCAGGAGACGCGCGGAATAAGCGCGGAAGAAGTCATGGACATTCACGGAGTCCAGACGGTCACCGGCGGAGGAGAGACTCACACGCCAGACATCTGGAAAATAAGTTGAGGGATCAAGACGCTGTCATCCGGCGAATGGCGGCGGAGATGGAGGATCTGAAGCGGCATGTCAAAGGGAAGGGTGTAGCTGGAGTGGGAGACCACAGTGAGCGCACCCCATCCCGTCGTTCAGGCGGCCAGAGTCAGCAACGTACTCAGTCCATATCTATTACCAGAAGTTACCAGGTTGGTGATTCCGACGCGCATGCAGAAAAGTCTAGCGCGCAAGACAGCACCTACAAACCTTCACGTCCGGCGACGACGTCAAGGTACTCTTACTCCGCTCAGTCAGAGGATTTACGGGCGGTCTTAAAGGAGCGGGCTCGTCGGCGCGAAGCCCAGAGAATACCTGCTTTCCAGCGGCTATCCTACGGGGTTCACACCAGCGAGGAAGTCGGAATGCCTCCACCCCGCCAAGCAGTGCCGCTCTTTGAAGATACAGACTTGGCTAGGCAGAGTGCCACCCCTTTTTCCCTGGAAATAGAAACAACACCGCTTCCGACAGGCTTCCACTAGCCAAAGTTCACACTTTACGACGGAAAAACCGATCCATATATGTATGTAAGCCACTTCCGACAGGTTATGGCCGGACATAGGCGCAACGACGGACTTATGTGCCTAATCTTCCCGTCAAGTTTGGGCGAACTGGGCTTAAAGTGGTTCGAGAGGTTGCCGGAAGGGAGCATACAAAGGTGGCATCAGCTGGCCGAGGCATTTGTTACACGCTTCAAAACCAACACAAAGACACCAAAGGAAGTCGATCATTTGCTAAGTGTCAAGATAGAACCGAGCAACACACTGAAGGTATACAACTCAAGGTA